ATAACTCTCTTGTGACAATGAATAATGCGTAGACAAGAGAAAAATATAGGATAGAATTAGATTAGCTTTTCTAAATGAGTACCCAATTAGAGCAAATAACATAGTACCCAGTAGGAGACTAGTAGTTATTCCTTGGATTATCTAAACCTGGCTTTGTTTCACTAGAAAAACCAAATAAGTATTTAGAGTTTTAGACTAGGTTGAGATAATCGACAGGTAAATTGCTATAGGAAATTGATTTGTTATTTTACTGATGCAATATAAAGCAATTGGAGTATCCATGTATGGGCGAGGGCCCTATGTTTCGGTTTCACCCTCGGGGTCCCAACATGAATGGAATGCTTTGGAAGGCCATGCGTCGAACTTCAAAGCACACAATCTTGCCAATTTGTCCATCTCTATTGATCAGAGTCACCACTTGTGGCTTGCTATTCCTCATGGACCCTCTTTGTATCCCTATGAACATTTCTTTTGACCAATAAAGTTTTCGCAAGACCCTAAAAAACCTTCAAACTGGCAACGGATGTAGGCCACCAACATCGCATTGTGCAAGGGGGCGAGGAGCAGAGCTAGAAGCCAGGCGAGAGATCGAGGAAGGGCCACTACGCTGCTCTCTGTCGCGCCAGGGTTTGCTCAGGCTAGAATTTTTTTAGTGTCCAAATACAGTTAAGAAAATATTTATTCCGCTCATGCCACCAGCACCGAATCAATGCTATAGCCAGCATCTTTCTATCCCTCGGCAGCTGAAAAACTGACTGAAGAAGCTCCTTGATTTGTCCTTTCTTCTTCTTATACATCATTTTTTTACATGAGCTGAAGATTTATACTCCCTCCGTTCCTAGATATAGGGTGTATAGTTTTTGGCACGGAAATTAAAGAACTCACGTGGAGGGATAATTTCACAAGTTTTGAGTGAGATTACACATGACTAATTGACATGAAAAAATAGAGGAGCTTACATGATATAAGGAAATGTAATCAAATCCCTAAAAAAAATATCCAAACGAGTGGTGCAACGCAATACACCTTATATTTCAGACTTTTTCTCAAAAATCTATACACCTTATATCAAGGAACGGAGGGAGTATTAATCAAACATCAACATCATAAGAAAATCTATAAAAGATTAGGAAAATACAATTCATTCCTTAGGGAATACTCCACATGAATATTCTCCATACCCACCATTCTGTTTCCTACCAAAAAATTCCTGGATTCAATGTTAAAAAGTTTAGCAGAGCAAGGCAAGAGAAAAACATATGTTGCTTCAGAAAACTTCTCATGCATCTTATTTACCTCCATTTAGAAGGAGAATAAGCATAACACATAACACATAACTACAGGGTCAGGCACATGACATTTATTTTAGGATGTAAACCACTGTTTCTTTTATCCAAAATGTAAGTACACAACAAGGTTCAACAGATGCAACAATAGGTAGCACAAGTTTCTGACTCCTGGAGAACAGGATGGCAAACACACAATTTTAAAGTCTTCATCAATCTCCCGACACAGCATCTACCCGTCGAGCGACTGAACACAAACATCAAGTTCCCCTCTGTAGGCAGCTACATGGAGACAACCGCTCAGCACAATCTCATACCCAAGATGCATAGGATGTCGTACTGCGAGCAAAACGGGCGTTGATCGTCACAAAACAAGGTTCAGGAACCCACTCCCCATCTTGTTCGCCATCTGCTGGGTATGAAAATACTCGGCCATTTTGATCCAGCTGGTATACCTGGCCACCCTTCAACCCTATCCTCTCTGGGTTCACCAACAGTCGTGGCTGGCCAATAGGTTTCTCGCCGAAGAAGAATGCCCACTTCGACAAGCCTCCATCTGCCACCCTCACGTACTTTGCAGGTTTAGTCGAGAAGTCGATGGAGAAGGCTTTCTCATTACCACAAAGTAGGAGAAGCATATCTTCACAAACCACCAACTTTCGAGAAAGCTTGGATGGGTCTATATTATCGCTACAAGAAACTCTTAGTACCTCAACATGAAACTCAGGTGCCAAATGCACGATGTACAGCTTTTGCTGTATCCTCGCAATGACCCGCCCTTTGAAGGACACCATCTCATGAATCAAATGTGCATTTAAAAAATCACAGTGCAACCATGAGGGGCTCCCAACTCGCCAAGCGTAAAGGCAGTGCGGGCTGCTGACAAATAGATATGAATCCGGCAACGCTTCTTGAGATACGAATGTTCTATAGCAGAGCTGAATGGATGGGCAAGGTGGAGCTGCAACCATGGTGCCAGTGAGCACGTCCATAATTACATGGGATCTGCCGGAGGAGAAGATAGCATGACCATGAGAACATTTCAGAATTTCCATTGTGTCCAAAATATTTGGGAGGCTCAACCGACGCAATGGAGTACTTGGATAGGCAAGATCAATAAGCTCCCATGTGTTTCCAGTGTTGCAGCCAGCTGGGCTCGTTTGGTCGGCACAATTCCGGAAAATAACAGGTGGGAAGATCATGTCTAAGGCAGGCTTCATTGACATGAACGCGGCACGCCAACTGGGGCAGGTGGCGATGAATGCAAGAAGGTCACGGCTTGAACCCAACAGGACCATGATGGAACACAATAGCACATCTGGCAAGTCTGCCCAACCTTGGGGTCCAAACATGACGCAGAGCATCGACATGGTGGTGTTGGAGATCAAGATCCGGTTGATGTTCTGCATAGTGTCAACTTCAAAGTCTGCATCAGAAATTATGAATTTAAGGACAACAGTTATATCAATTGACTTAAGTTAAATATATTATATTGCGATCACTATTTTCATTCACCTAATACTAGTACAACCACTGATAACTATAGTAACATAGTTAAAATGTTTGCAGAAACTAGAAACATAATACACAGTAGAGTAAATACAAAAGTATTGACACCAAAATATAAAAGTGTGGAAAAATCATGATAAATTTCATCGACATTTGAGAGACAGAAAAGGCAAGTGTTGAATCTTTCTTGCCACAGAACAAGCATGAAGGAAATATAGAAATTTGAGGTTGTTTAACACTAGTAGAAGTAAAATTGCAACTCAATTATAAACTATTTTCTACATGGATTTCCCCTAAAATAACAAAAAGGAAAAACAGATAAGTCCTCCATCGCTAACAACAAGTGAGGACACAATGGTGGAGGCCTTGCGCCTCAGCTACCTTCTCCGACGCTAGTTATCGCAAGACGTGGCAGCTAGAGACATCTGCTCTGCTCCCTCGGTCACTATGCTGACTCCAGATCTGGATGGAACTGGGCCTCCTTTGTCGTTTGGGCTGTAAGGCGCCTTGGCAGCATCCTAGCATTTTGTTCCTCTGAGACGGGGCTTGATCGCCTTATGCCGCCTTAAAAACCTTGGGCTCTACATCTACAGAGAACCAGGCATCCTGGCTTATGGCAATTCCAGATCTGGATGGAACCAGGCCTACTGGTTCACAGTTGCCTTAATGCTATCATCACAATTATCATCTACCGGTCGGCCATGGGTGGTTTAGTGCGGTCAGCGCAAATGAGCGGGTTTGTCTTGTGTGTGCTTTATGTAGTATGAAGGTATACTTTGTCAAACTTGTCGAATTTGTAGTGATTTTTCTTGCTGTCGACAACTTTATGATGCTCATCTGAGGTGAAGAAAGTATAGAACTAAGAAAAATGATCGACCTTAAATGAGCCATGTTAGGAAAGAGCAACATTGATCAATGTCCTAGAAATTTTGGAAATAACCATCTGAGTTTGCTTTGCATGCCTATCTTGAGGAGATGGATAATTTTTCTGCGGATAGAAATTTCCACAACAAGACCAGAAGAAGCAAAAGGTCACGAGAAATTAGCATTTTTTGTGAAAGAAAAGAATATTTGTAACCACTTAAGGAAGAAAACCCATAGCATACAGAACATGCCAACAATCATGGTTTCACTGCTATCTTCCACATCACAAGTTGAGTAGGAGATTATTACCTCGCCAGCAGACAGAACTGAATCAATAATGCAGCGGGGATGATGGATGACGGAACAGAATCAATATTGCGTTGATTGCAGCAACAGTCAATGCACACACGGAGTATTGTCAAATGCCAGCCTCTCACTGCAGAAAACAAACAAGAATAGCCTCAGGGAATTGGAATATCATGTATCATTTTTACACTGTACCGTGGGGTAACAGTACTGAACCAAATGTCCCAGCTAGCTTAACTCTAATGGACTTCAGCTTACGAACTAAACAACTAGAACAGCAGTAAAAACCAGCATAAGATCAGTAATGAATGAACAAAAGCTAACCTTGCTCATGGGCAAAATAGGCTGTGCACGTGAACATGACAAAGATAACTAAAATAGGGGCACAAGAAGAAGTATATGCCATTGCAACAAATAGATCAGGTCATGCTGCTCAGTACTTCCAACTTGCTTTTTTTACATATGTTACAACATCCATGAGAAATTAGAGCTAGTTTGGTTTGCACCCTGGCATCCATGCCTGGGAATTTTCGGTGCCTGGCATGGGCCTGGGAAGCTCAAGAATTTTGCCTGCCCAGGCTAGCCTCGTAGCAGCTTGTTTGGTTTATACCCTGCCTGGCGCTTTGTCCTTTAGCTATTAGAATATATTTTTCAGACAGTAGGCTGTACAGCCCTTGTGCTTAATTAGCGCCAGGCTCGGCTTCAGCCCACCCAGGCAGATGAAACGGGACGCCTGGGCCAGGCCGATGACTTTGCCTGGGATTTTTATATTGTTTTTTCTATCTTCGCCAGGCTAATCACATTTGTGGGGCAGCCACGCCCAGGTAGGTATATTTTCTCCCAGGGCATGAACCAAACAGGGACCAGGCCAATTCCAGGCACCATCCAGGCCAGGCGAGTTTGAGTGTGGACATGAACCAAACTGACCCTTAATGTTTATACATATCAGAAAAGTTATTCATTAAAATTGGTCGAAAATAACCATCAATTATTCAATACGTCAAAGACAAACATGCCAGAGTTGCGATAAACTTCTCTTGTCGCAATAAACTACTAAACTATTATTCTAGCAAACAACATAACCAGTGGCGCAGCTACCAAAAATAAGTTGGGCGGCCCAAACAACCCTAATATTTTCAAATTCTGTACCATATATATTTATATGCTACCAAAATACCAAACGTGCTACAAAATTGGCAGTAAACAACCATTTGAGTACATTGTTAGATAGTAAACAACAACGCTGCATTTGATGTGAACTTGTAAACTCTAAAAGTGGCATTTGTTGTGAACTTGTAAACAATAATGCCTTGCACAGTATAAAACTATAAAAGGTAAAGAACAAGATCTTGAGTGGATTGTTTATGCTAATTGGGGATTTAGGGGATGATTCAGTGAACAATGACCTAAGTGAAATTTAGGGAAATAAAACTGGGAATGATTCAAATCAATTTGACTGTGAAGTTTGCAGGGATTGAGATAAGTAATGATTCTGATGGATTGAGAGAAGGCACTGGCCAGCTGGGTGTCTTGGTCGCCGGCTCGCCGCTGTGTGGCCGCGTGGTCGGCTGACTAGCTGTGTGCCGGTGGGTGGTGTCTGATTGGACATCCTCTTGGGAATTTGGAAGGCACTGATGTGTGTGGATGCTCCGGCAGCCGATGTGTGCTTGTGGCCACCCAGCTAGACCCTAAGCTCTGTATCACTGTGAATGCTACGTTTTTTTGAGGCGACACTGTGAATTCTACGAGCGCGAGGCTGCTGTGTTCCTGCTCTGTATTGGTGTCGGTCAGTGTTGCGGGTTGCAGTAGTGAAATAGTGATGGTCTGGGCTATATATAACTTTATTTTGTTCCAGCCTTGGGCGGGCCACGGCCCAATCGGCCTTGACGAAGCTCCGCCAGTGAACATATATAACGGGTGATAAAAGAACACGACTGCTTATAAAAGCCATTAGAAAAAAAACATATATTAATGAAACAAAATGACAAGTTACATACAAATAAAAGATGAAATGAAAACAACATCAAAACTAAAAATAGAAAAAATAAATCTTGAAATACGACAAAACGGGAAGCAAAATGAAAGTAAACAATAACAGAAAAAAGAAAAGAAAAGAAAATCCATCCCGAGGGTTCGCTATTGCTCTTGCTAGTCTTGCATATCGACTGTATGCGCGGTGACCAACGGATTTCTCTGGTCAACTGGCGGATGCAGCCAATTACCAGATCACCTTCCTCGTGTAAGTCAACCTTGCCTCCTCACCACAAGAATACAAAGTAATGTGCAAAAGTCAAAACACAGCCCCGTTGGTCCAAATCAGCGCCCTTGAAGCGGAGATAACGATTTACTGCACCAACTCACTAAGGTCCAAAACCCAAAAATCACTTTTGATTTTCGTTTTGGAAATTCGAAAATTAGACATACAGTTATAAATCGTGTTTAACGGACATATATATCTGTACCAAATGTCCCGGTGCTTCCAGCCCCCCGTTGCGGCCGGTCTTGTCAAATTACTTCAAGGAGACTGGGCTACGGATTCCGAAAATTTCCAGATGGGTGAGTAGGTGCGTAGGTGGACGAATCGCTTACAGCTACATCACTTGACTTGTGAACCGTACCTAGGGTTCTTGCGCTCGTGCGCAGGGGATTGGAGAAAGGGAAGGATTGGGCTGAGGGCGGCAGGCATAGATACCTGACAACACGGAGAAGGAGAGACGCCGATGATGGCGGCGGAGTCGGCGCGGCAGGCGGCGGCTGTCCCCGACGACTGCGCCGCACTCGTTTACTGGTAGGGTAGGGCAGGGCAGGGGCAGCACGTGTAGGCAAAGTAGGCATGTGCTGAAGGCCTGAAGCGGACTGCTTGAGCTGGGCTTGGGCCTCATCGGTGCTACCAAGTTAAGACAAGCCCGCACCGTTTTAGTGTGTCTGCTGGTTTTTCGTTTTTTTTTCTCTTTCATTCTTTCTTACTACTATAGTTTTTCTGCTGGTTTTGTTTTCATTTTTCTTCTATTCTGGATTTCTTCTGGATATTTTTTAGTTTCCTTTCACTTTTTAGTTTTTCTGCAGAAGTACACGGTGAAACTGTCGCGATTGTAAGCTGCCGATAACCTCCAAGAGATGAGGTTTCCGGCAGCGATGCGCGCCTCCCCTTTTAAAAAGATCACTGGTAGGGAGTCGTATGGTGCACCAGAGGCTGGTAGTGCCCGTAGGTTTCTCATCTTTGAGTCACACGACAGTGGTGAGGCAAGAACTGCACCGGCGAAGCTAGAGGCGGACAAGTATGGGGATATCCCTGAGGTGGTGCTTGCCGACCGCCTTGTGCAGGTTGCGATTGCCGCGTGAGCGCGATCAAACTTGGGCCTGCAAACAGCAAGTCAAGGTGCATAGACGGCCAGACTGAAGGAGAAGGGTCAAACGGGGCACAAAATAACATCGATCGATCCCCCCTCCCCTCCCCGCGTCGCTCCCGTGTGGCGACCGGGGGGGAAACCCTAGCCGCCGGCTTCGGGCCTCCTCTCGCCCCTTCCCTCCCTCGCCGCCGCCGGACCACGCTGCCGGGCAGAGCCCACCGGCGCGGTGGCGGCGGGGCTCATCTTCATCCCACTCGGAGGCTGTTGACGCGGGGCGGCGGCGGACGGCGGTGCTTCGCGCTGGTGCGGGGCGCGGAGGCGCGGCGGCGGGCCCTGGCTGCGGGGTAGCGAGGGCTTGGTGGCGGGGCGGTGGACTGCAT